CCGGCCCGCCCTCGCGGAAGTCGGCCCCGCGGCCCTGCAGCGCTCCCGCGCCTGCCGAGCGACCCTCTGGCGGGTGAGCTCGGGCGGTAAGGCGGACAGCGCGAGGCCGGGCGCCGCCGGCTCCGCGGCGGAAAAGCCCTTCCCTCCCGCACCGACTCCGTGTGGATCGGGAAGATTGCGTTAGAAACCCCAACTTCTTCTCCCTGTAGTCATTTTTAGTGTTTTCTACAAGTAGTAATTCACTACTGTGTGCGCCGCTGGATTCCAAGATGGTGTGAAGTGGGGCGGGATTCATTTCTTTAGGTGTTGGGGTGAACTGAGGTATACCAGAGCCAGAAATTTTTATTCTTATCCGTGAGAATCAACAGGAAATTTATTTTTCTTTCGATGCTCACTGATTAAAAGTAATTATATAGTAAACACTGCAATAAGCAAGAGGGAATAAGTATCATTAAAATCTAATTTAAGAATTACAGTGGACTTTAAAAGTTGTGTTTCTTGAATAGAATAGGGTTCTTAAAAGAAAACTGAAAGTAAAAGGAAATAAGCGTAGGAGGAAAAGCCTTGAAAATTTTTTCAGGTGTGAATTTCTACCTGAATTACAACAGAGAGGATCTATTAGTTAAATAGCTCAAGTAATTTATCTTTATTCCTATAAGTCTCCAGTGTATGATTCTCATTTTATCACAAAATCTGGACTAATAAGACAAATTAGATCTTCAGTTAATGCAGTAAGTTTTTATAACTGGATGGTAGGTGCAAAGTATGTCATTTGTGTATTATTTAATGTTCATTAAATCATTGACTTCAATTTTTTTCACTCAGTTCATTAGTAAAACACAACTATTATTGTTACTCTAAGTGCAACTCAACTTTAAACTGTTCACAGGGAACAGCAGAATGTACTGTGAAATATAATTACCAAAGAGGTTAGTGATAACAAGTAATTATTACAAAAGCACACTTTTAAATCCCACCAGGTCACAATGCTCGTGTCTCTTTATTTTATCATTTAAAAAGACTGTAAGGGGAGCCCTGCACAGGGACATGAGTGGTCTCTCAACAGGGGTGGGGGTGAATATAGGATCAAGACCTCCCGCTTCTGAGTCTAGCACAGGTGACAATGCCAGGGCCTTTCCAGTTCCTCTAAATCTGTGACTTGAAACAAGCTTCCCAATTGTAATCTCAGTTTCTACTTTTTTTTTTTTTAACTTACATGTTTTTATTTTATTTTATTTTTTTAATTATTTATTTATTTATTACATTTATTTATTGTGTGTGTGTGTGGCCAGCTCAGCCCCAGGGGGCGGGGCTGGCTGGCATGTGGTGCTGAAGGATCGAACCGCGGTCCTTGTGCTTTGCCAAGCTTGTTCCAAGTAGCTGCTTTAGACCACTGAGCCATCTCTCCAGCCCCATCAGTTTCTACTTTTGTAAAAGAGGAGTGTCTAGGTTTTAATGTTAACTATGTCAAATAGTTATGACACTTATAAAATAAGCAACATCACCTGGAACCTGGTCCATATTGATTATTATGATCACATTAAGCTTCTTTGAAAATATTATGTCCTTTAACAATAATTCGTTAAGGTAATTATCACGTTATGGGGGAAATAGAGGCTTTTACTATATATGTAATTTTCTCAAAATCACACAGTTGCTACTGAACAGTAGCATTGGAATTTGTTCAGACTTAGGACTCTGGAACTCCAGAATATGAGCTGTTAACCACTAAATTAAAAATAATGAGAATAACAATAATATGGCACAACTTTGGTGTAGCGATAACAGTGTTTAAACATACATTTGAAATCGCCATGCGTGGCTGAATTCCAAACCCTGCTTGGCTGCAGAGGTGTCCTCTTCTCACCTGTCCACCATCCAAACCTCTCAGCAACTTGGTCCTTAGGGGAAACTTTGGCCCCACCTACACTCTGTGTGGCTGTGATATGTACCTGTGATTCTTCCTTGTTAGACTCTTGCTCAGATGTCTCCTTCGTGAGCAAGTGAGGACATTATGGTCAGCCATGGGAAAAGAAAGGATCAGATTCATTCTAACTGGGTGCATGCACAGACTGATTCTGGTGCCAGTTCCCATAACTTTCTAAAAAGCAAAAACCCATTCAAGGTAGACAAGTGTTGTTCTTTGCAAGCACAAGATAGATACACTTGCAAAAAAAGTGGAGATGGCAGAGTTATAATGAAAATTTTTCCTCTTAACAAGGACAAATGAACATAATTTTGAACTTCTTGTTGATTATAGGCAGAAAGACCCTTACTGATGGCCTCTGCATTCTCCTTTACAAATAGAACCACATCTGCCACATTTTCAGAGGAAGAAAAAGACTGAGATTTCAGATGATTTACCCAAATAGATGAAATCAAAAGTCAAGTCGTGAGTTGGAATTGATGTCTCTCAATAGTCCTGTTTGATTTCTATAATGGTGGATGGCATACTGTGCTTGAGAGGAAGGTGCTGTGCCACAGAACTATATCTGTAGACCTTAGTCCTGTTTGATTTCTAATATTAAGCTTCTTTCCTCCTTCTAAGACAAGGCAAGGGAGAAACCTACACTCCAGAAAACTCAGGGAAATCAGAGTGGGCTATTGGGTGTAGCTTTCTAACTTCCAGTATTTCAGATATGTCTTCAGTATTTTAAACATCCTTGGGGGCCTAGAGACAGCTGCAAAGTAAACAAAAATCAACACCCTCCAATGCAGTCACCCCTTCCCTTTACCTTTCTATTACTACAGTATTTTTCTATCCTTATAGTTCAAATACTATCTGCCACACAGTCAAACTTTACTTGTACTGGTTCAAATAATGTAAAGATTCAAGTTCTTCCCAGAACCTCAGATTGTAATATTCTATCACACATGCGTATTTTACACATTCAGTCAGTTGAGACGAGATCATAATGGAATAGGGTAGACCTGCAAGCCAGTAAGATCGATGTTTGATAGGAGGAGAAGACGTGTGGTTATAGACACACTGGAGATTGTGTAGGGAGCGAGCACCACCAGGGCAGTGCTCAGAGCAACATTTGTCTGAAAACAAAGGAGCAGAAAGATGGCTGCCAACCCCAGAAGCAAGGCAGAGGTGAGTGCCGGCCAACACCCAATTTTATACTGCTTGCATCTATAATTGTGCCATGATTTCTGTTGTCTTAAGCCGCCCAGTCCATGGTACTCTCTTGTGGCGGCACTAAGAAGCTAATCCAGTACCCCTAGGCTGCCCACCCACATGAGCACTCTCTTCAGGGAATTCATTGCCAACTCCTCTGAGGCAGAGCTTCTCTTGGAAGAGTTTTGCTTTACCAAGATGTCTGCCCAGGAGAGCACCATGTGATACATGTTGTTCTGAAACAATTGTTAATAGTGCCACCTTTCATCTCAAAATTGTCCCTGCTCAGAAAACAAAGTCTACCTTCACATTATTTTCCCCCTAAAGTGTTAAATAGCACTCAGAAACTTATATTCAGTGCCCCTTAATAGGGGGATGTCCCTCCTCCTTCACCACAGCCTGCAGCTCCTTTACACCTCCCTTTGCTAAGTCAAAGCTGTATAACTCCATTTCCAGGCCTGCACCTTAACGCATGCTTTTCTGTGTAATCAGAATTTCCTTCCTTCTCACTCTCCACCTCTGGTTATTGCTGTGTGTTGAAAAATCCACCTTAATTTAAATTTCAAGTGTTCTTCATCATGTATGATGTAATGTTATCTCAGAACGTCTACTTGAGTTCAACGTATTTTAGAATATACCTCACACTTTGCCCTGAGTTTCAGTATTTTTTATCTTTCCACTTCTGAATGCAAACATATCTTCTTATTCACTGTCATATTTTGTGTAGTCTCTTAAACCATAGTTTCTCACTCATTATGTACTCAAGACATGAAAAGAATTTGTTGAATGGGAAGGAGAAACTGGGATGAGGAAAAAGACAAAAGAAAAAAGGGGAAAAGATATTTATGTATAATGAAGGATAGTTTGGAGAATTGTACTGCTGATTTCTGCTGGTCTTTTGAAAGGAACAGTTCATGCTTAATTTTTTTTTCTTTTCTTTCTTTTTAATTTCTTACAACTTATGTTGTTGTAATTTTTTTAAACCAATTTTGCAGGTTTATATTTGGTAACCTAAACAACTAATTGGGAGATAACATCATGCAATACAGCAACC